TTACTCCTTTCAAGCCTTTCTACCTGTAAAAGAAAGCTTAGTAGGAACTGATAGTTTTAAGTAAGCTTTTAAAATAATGGAAAAGAACCATGAGTGTTCAGTCACACACAGTCGTGAAAGAAGGCGGCGGAAAAGCACCTTCTGAGGCTCCAAAGTCACTTGCCATTGACTTGGAAGCTTTTTACTTGAAGATTAAAAAGCTTCATGAGGAGGACTTATTTCTTTTTACTTTTACTCTGATTTCGCTTTCTAAAATGTTTTGTAAAAATTATTTAGTGCTGCAGGTAGGAACTATTGAAAATCACAGGTAGCACAAATCCTCTAAACATAAAAAAACCCTTAAACAACATCCTATTCATACTAGAGGGTCTATGAACACTGAAGATGTATCAGCCGTGTTACTGCATTACACAAGTTTTTCAGATGACACCCTAGTGAAATAATTGGCTGATTTTAGTAATCTGGTGATTTGCAAAACATAATTCCAAGAAACATCATAGCTCTGAATTCTGTCAAAGATTGCACAGTGATTTAGGTGAAGTACATAACAAGACTACAAGGCACCTATGGAGAGCTATTCAATAGTACTACAGTTCAGTGCTTGAGGACTATTTTGTTGTAACTAAATTAGTGACTATAAAATCAAAACCATAGAGACTTGGTTTAGCTATATGTAGAAAGAAGCATGATGGGCAGTATTTTTCTTGTTAATAGTCAAAACATCAATAATAAGACCTGTTGTCTTTAGGGAGAATTATGAATGCTTTTATAATCTATTCACACACTGATAGGACAAAACGTGTCATCACTTTAGTAAATATTGCATCAGACACGTAATGTCTTGGTATTTAAAAAAAAAAAAAAAGATATGGCTGACTGCATAGCAAAATAGTGGTACTTGGAAAGAGCAGGGAAGGGAAAAAAAAAAAAAAAAGGGAATAGATCTGGAGAAGGCAAACTTTGTCTGACCAGAGGCACCATGGTAGGTAATGCCGGTGAGTAAAGCACTACAAGACTCCCAGGCTCATGTGGTAAATCTACTTTAAGACTTGGTAACAAAACCCTAAAGATAAATGAGAAGATTATAAAGACATAAAAAAACAAGCAGCAAATGTGAATGGACAGAACATAAAAATATATTGTGGCATTTCTAGTCTCCTCTTTTTATTTTCTTTAATCTAGGGCAGGGTTGTAACTCTCAAGGAAAAGAAATGTTAACAAAAAGAACCCCTGTTAACAGGTGAGAGTTCAGGTTATAAATAAAGGCTGTTGAGGTGAAGTATGAGGAAACATATACTAGGAAGACCTAACAGCTGCTAGAATTCTACCCTAAAAGATGAATAATAAATGCAAGGATTTTGGATGGTTTCCAGTTTTAAAGGAGAATTATATTTTTTAAATAACATTTCAAAAGAAAAAGAACACCTCCAGGAGAAGTTGAAGCTTGAATGTTTTCATTTCTCTTGGATAAGTATTATAAAATATCCAGTAAGTTATCTGAGCGTCATAAAGTCCCGAAGTCCTATACCAGAGTCACCATGGAATATTCTGTATCAGCGTAGAATATGTAGACTCTCCTATGTTTTGAAGAAAATAATAACTGCATTATTCCACAACGAGCAGGTGGATAAGGCTGCCAAGACTGAAATAGGCCAGGTAGACTTGGAGTGGGAGCAGAAAGATGGGCTATTTATAGCCTGATGGGCCCATGAAACATCAGAACATTTAGGAAGAGAGGAAACATACAGATGAGCTCATGATAAAGGAGTGGACCTGATCATGGAGGCCATCACACAGGCTATTCATGAATAGAGCCACCACACTCTATTCCAGGGAGATTTTTCTTGTATGGCTTGCTTAATTGCCACACACAGTTCAACGTGTGTGGAAATTAAGCAAGCCATACAAGTAAAAACTCCCTGGAATAGAGTGCAGTGGCTGGATTTCCAATATGGTGAGGACCACATTGCACCACTGACATGAACACACCGAGGCAAGAGCTTTGACTCGTATTCCTAGTGCAATCTGGGTATTTTACCTTCTCTAGTGTATACCAAGGAACACATTCATGGAAAAATCTTATTCTTTTTTTTTTATATAAACAAATGAGAGGAAAAAAAAAAGTCAAATCATCACATGATTTAGACGTGTTCAGGTTCTAAAAAGAAAGTGTGTCAATCTAGACAAAACTGGACAAAAGCCCAAAAATTAATAAAGGTATTGGTAAAAATTTTCTCAGCTAAAACTGAACACATTAGTAATATCTGTAACTTTTTAGCTACATAAACATCTGACCTTTTCTTTATTGAATAAGTAAATTCTTGCCCCATGAGAAGTACAAGAGAACTCCTGGGTGCTGCATTTAGCCAAGATCTGCAAGACTTTGCTGAGAATTATTGCTTTAGTGTTTTGTGAATAGTGTACAACTTTTGACTCATTAGCAGATTAGAAAATGTGTTATGCCTTTTTGTGTGTGTGTGTGTGTGTGTGTGTGTTCTTTAGTCTTTTTTGATTACAGAAGTGGTAACTGAATTATATAGTACTGGAGAGTTTAAAAATATAACTCAACTTTCCACTAGATCTCACTGAAATTTTCCACCAGGGTAAAAAATCAAGATCTTAAAACTTATACTGCATTCGAATTTGTGATAAAATAAACTAGGACAACCATATTAGCAGTTTCTAAAATCATGCCTTAGCAAAACTAAAATTTTAAAGAAGCTAAACAACTGAATATTAACCTATATAGATATATGTGTTGAAGGAAAAGATAGTTAATTAAAATCAATTGTAAGAACTCTGTCTTAAGATATGGTGACATTTTCAAATTACAGAAATTTTTCTGCTTAACTTTGTTACATTTAGTTAGATAAATAAATACCCATACTATACTCCTATCTGTAAATGCTGTAAATTCTATGAACTACAGTAAATACCAGTATGAATAAGCAATTAGTAAATGTCATAACCAAAAAATCTATCCAACAACCAAACAAAAAGAGACCCATATACCATATCAATTTATTTTTTACTGTTTTAAATATCTTTATTTTTTCCTATAATGTAAATTTCTGTGAGACAGTCAAAGGATATTTGTTGACTTTTGGCATAATTCCGTGTAAAATTCTGGTGGTCTTGTCTGTTTAATATGTTTGATATTCTAGAAAGTTGATTTTGAAGGCTGGATGTTGTGGATTAAACTGTGATTCATGTAAAAGTGATAGATGTATCGCATACAGCTACATTATTAGAGATCTTCCAAAGCTTACGGTACCATATTTTAAAACGGTACCATATTTTAAATACACATGCTACTTTCCATGAAAACTGTATTTGCAGTAATTTCCAATTACTGTCATTGGAGCTATCTCATGAAACTGTTTTGCAGAGTATAAATTTGAAATCCATATATTCCCTCAGACTCTCATTCAGTAAGGACATGCCATTGATTTTTGTGGGACTGTTCATGCTTATATTTAGATATGATCTGTGAAACTTTTCATGCTTGCCTTTAGATGCATACCTAATTACATGGCCAAATAAGAAGCCCAAAGGACAAATAATGCACTTTGAGAATGATCTGTGAATAATACAGTGGAAGGACTCACACTGACTGTTATTTTTCGGATTAGGCTTCATCAATTTTTATGGGCAAGAGGGATCATAGTGTGAAAATGCATTGTTGTAAAGCCTTTTTCTTTTTACTAATTAAGTTCAGACAAACCATCTGTTATCTTGGCCTAAATACAAACCACATGTTCCCATGTATTATTGATAGAGGAAATTTGAGAGACTTAAATATTCTTTTACTTTAAGAGTGAGTCACAATATCCCTTTTTTGTCAGGGATTATTATTTTATATGCTTACTTTAACATTACATTCCTCTTAAGAAACGTAATTCAGTCATTTAAATCACTGTACTGTGAGCAACTCAGTGGGGTTTTATATTGCATAAGCATAAAGATTTTTAGTATTGGTGATCTCCTTGGACATTTTTCATTCAAATTTTTTATTCATTGTATTTTAATTGTTATGATGCTCTAAACTGAGTTGTCAGTGAGATTCCTTCAGTAGGTCTATGCCTTCATTTTATCAGGCAAACAATAACAAAGGAAAACAATGTAGTGCTCAAGGGGGGAAATAAGAAAGAGTATCCATTCTTAAGTAAGAAAATATCAAAAAGAGAAATTCTAACATTAATGTTTTACCCTTTTACCATAACCATGGATAAAACATAAGGTACAGAAAAATATTAGTTGTACTTTGCAGGAGTCACGAACATCTTTCATGATACTTTACTGTATAACTAGCTTGGTTGATACCTTTAAAAATGATGTAGTTTACTTGTGACATAAGAAGCAGTGATTTGCATCTAAACAGACATGTGTGCATTGGTTAAGTTAGGCTACGGTACCTATGGATGAATGTTTCTTGCTTGTCTGCAGTGTATGAGGAAGCAATTTTAATAGGAAAATTTGAAAAACATAGACTTGAAATGGCAGCATTTGTGGAGCCACTGGGCATGAGAGATGCATATAGAGAGAATGAATATAATTCTGCTATCTCACATGACCATAACAATGACAGTTTACACTTAAATTATACATTTCATCTAAAAAACAATTTAATTTAACTATTGCTGGTACGTTTTTTCACAGTTGTTCAAGCTGGTGAAAGCTATTCTCTTCCCTCACAAGAAGCCATACCAAATAGATAATACTAATGTGATTCTACAGTGCCCCCTCAATCATTAAAACATATTTAACATTCATTTAGTAATGTTTTTGTTCCTGACATAAGCTTAAATTCTGTGTTAGATCCTGTCCACTTTCTTTGCAGCCCTGGCAATGCACAGAGCAGATGAGGAGAAAATAGGGTGTGTTTTTGACTTCTCTCTATTCATAATTGATGACATCTTAATTAAGAGTCCCGTAAAACAGGTATACCTGCAGTTTTCCCTAATAATAGTGGAAATCTGATGGACCATTACAGTTGTAATCTCTCTTTTAACAGCAATCAAAGTTTTCACTGAATTTTTATTCAGCATTTGCATCTTACTGCACTATTCCAAGTAAGTTTGAAGTATAATCTACTTTATCCTTGATCAAATATTAAAAAGGTTCTGAAAAATGCATTAGTGGTATAGTCTTCCTTAAATCAAAAAAGATAAGTCAATAATCATCATAAGCCCCTGACATCAGAGAACAGCTTCCAAGCTCTTGGTTTGAGATGTCCCATCAATAATATTGAATGTTTCTTTATTTATTAATTTCTGACTATCAGCCTGAAAGATACACTCACTTATACTATTTTCTGTGATGTACCCTGCTGTGATGTCATTGTTCTGATATCTGGCACTTGAAAGAAAGCTCTAGTGGGTAGTTCCAACTTTCCAAAAGGAGTTACTGATATTTTGTAGTGATGAAAAAATTGCATTTGGAAGTAGTTACTATGCATACAAAGCAGGCAATTTCACAATATTCCTACATCAGCTTAAATGTTATCACCTAACAAAGCAAAGTGAAAGTGCTTTCTGTAAGCAATACGTGTTCTTTTGCAGCATTGCTGTTATCAATGTCCTGCTGTCCTGTATCTCTGATGAAGTGCAGTTTTCAGAAAATCTACCAAGTTGAAAAACGACGTGTCAGTACCATCCATGATCTGAATTTAACAGGATTAGCTTTGAAAGGTCTAAGTCATAGGAAAACACATAGCAATTTAGAATCCAGAAATTCACGTGGTCTAATCAGAGCCACTAAAGTATTAGACATAGCGGCAGAAAGCTTTTGGAGCTATTTCATAGATTATAGCTGTTAGTCATATAGTAATTTCTAAATGGTAAGCAAACATGGTATCTTGCCAGGCTGATCATTTAGACCATTCATGCATGGAATTACTACTAAAGTCGAAGGTAATCTTCCTGAATTGATCTACTAATGACTTCTGGGGTTGAGTCGTTACTCGTTATGAATCAATAGGTCTTTTTCTGAAAAGCATATCTGATTAAGAAATATCTTGAAGGTTTTGGTGTTTGCCACTTTTGTCACAAAGAACTCTGTGAAAATTACCCCTGCTAAGGTGTAAGAGTACTTCAAACACAAATAGAGAAGTCAGTCTGCCATTCTTTTTAGTAGTAACTTGAGTAATGCTTATCTATATCTTTCTATGCAAATTGTTCCACTTATTTCAGTGTATACTGTTCAATACAATTTATCACGTACTTATAAAATGACATATATTACAGAGACAAATTCAAGTAGATTTTAACCACATTATTTACTCACTAAGTGCCCAAGCCCTGAGTGAGTTCTGCCATCATCCTGGGGACTTGGTAGTGAGGGCTCAAGGTCAGCTGTAATAGAGCAGACACCTGGCCTTGATGCTGTTTGACACAGGGCTGTTAGAGGATCCCAGAGCAGGGACTGGACCCCTTTCATCTAGGAGCTGCATTTATCCTGAGCCACTCAGCTGTGGTCCCTGTCTGAGCTACACTGCATCCATGCCTCTGCTTGCCATCTGTACCCTGTTGATCTGGATCAGGACACTGACCTGCAGCATCCTGGCTTGACTTCAGACCTGCATCATCACTGTGAATTTGCCAGATAGCTGACCCTGGATACTGCTCTGCTCCTCTCTCGTCTGGGTACTTTGCTTCTGAGACCTTGGCAGTGAGATCACTGCCCTGCCTTCCTTGCTGCCACCCTTAGCTCCTGGTTTGCTTTCCCTTACAAATTAGAATGCTTTCAGTGTTCCCTGATGTTAACTCCTGTATTATAACCTAATAATTTAAGATCCTGAACAGACAACAGTCCTGCAATTGCATATTTTCTGTGTATGCACAATAATGTAACACTTCATTCTTTCTCTAAATAAGTATCCCTTGCCTCTTCCCAGATTACAGACATCTAAAATACATGGCATGGAAGATTAAGCCTTTGACTGTTATAAGTATTACATGTATGAATACATGCAAAATGTATAGATTGTGAGAGAGAAATTCATAATCAATAAGGAAGGCTTCTGCATACAAGTGGAGATCTTGCATATGGGGGAAGGTTAAGCACAGAAGGATGGATTTTTCAATGTGCACTGCATAGGTAAGAATGAAATACAGATTTCATGTGTGTCAATCAAAGTCTGTGCTCACTATAGAGTCTAATCCTGTCCATGATCTGCTTATTGCTCAATTATATAGGCAGAATAACACTTTTTCAGAGCTGGCAAAAATAGTTGAAATTCTGAAGAACAAAAGATGAGGAAAGAAAAGCAGTGTATTTCAGCTACTATGACTCCACTGCTGAAGTAAAGCCAGCTGGAGGTAAGAAAAACCATACTGAAGACAGGGATGAGACAGTGATTGATACCCTTGTTTAAGAGACAGATGAGACCAGTCTGACAGTTTCTGGCACAAATTGTGTTTCCTGCTGTTCAGGCAACTTAATTTCATTTATGTTCATTTATGCCAGCTGGGTGTATCTTATTCTTCTCTTCCCCCTTCCATGTGCTGTAGTTTCACATTTTTTTCCTACATAGCATCTCTACTTTTATTAAAAAAATATAATTAAAAGAAAGTTATTCACTTAATACATCTAGCTGACATTGCTTTAGTTTTCCCTTTTGTGTGCTCAGAAAAGAAAGGAAAGCTTTATATGCTCTTTATTATAGTTCTACCTGGAGTTCCGTGATTCAGACCACAAGCGAGTGTCAGTTTATTGACACTGGCCTGTGAAATATTTCCTGTCCTGTTATCTGTCGTTCTTTAGCTTTCAAGGTTTGCATTCCCTGTGACTCTGAAGTTATATATCAGGTAGCAGTGGGACTGCTGCCCTCCATGTGCTGTACAGTAATGCATCAAGCATACCATCATTAAGATAAATTATGTCCTTTTGTGAACATCTGAGTCTGTATTTTTCAGTAAAAAAAGTAGCTGTGCTTGAACTAGAATTTAGGATGGCACTTAAATGTTAGAAATAAATTGATTATTTAAGATCATTTTTGCAAGGGATTTAAGAGGATTCAGGCTCATCTTTTGTATAACATGGTATTTTTGTTGTAATACTGAAGCAGAAATAAAATGACAGGAAAAGAAATAAGAAAAATACTAGAGAATAACAACAATTTTTATATTTTTTTATACTTCAGGTTTGAACTGTAAAGTTACAGCATGCTGGTAAATCTTCAAAATTTTATCAAATCTACTATGTTTTGCTAAATGTCACTGGCCCTAAATCTGAGCTTCAGGATACACGTGTTGAAATTATTTTACAGTGGCAATGGTAGGGAAAAAACATGGAAGAAAATTCATACTGTCAATTATTTTTTAAACATTTTTATGTACAGTATCTTACACTCTGAATATGTAATGAGATTACATGTCTCTGAGTAGGAAAGGGCTAGAAAGAGCCTTACAGGTTACATTCCTATGATATACTGAGTGTATGAAACACGAGCAACTGCTTTTGAAAGTATACCAAAGAAGTTTACAAATCCAAAGTCATATCTTCACTTCTTGGTAAGGGGTTCCTATTCTAGCATCAGTGGCCACAAAAATAGGCAGGAGAGGTCTAGTCACTTAGACTTACCTCTGTCTATGGGTATTTTGGCAAGGGGGGAAAGGGATGCTCTTTATTCCTAAGGCCAACAGCATGGCCTACTTAATCATTAGTATCTCAGATAATGGAAAGAGCAGGGGATAAGTGTGATCAAATGAACAGGATCTCTAATCCACAGGTGACTACACATGATCAGGGTGCATTGACTGCAATCCTGTCACAGCTGGTATGTGCTTTCATTGCCTTTTCACCTACAGTTAGAGTAGACTCTAGAAGCAAAACAATCTTCTGCTGAAGTTTTGGTACAAATGTAAAGTTAGAGCAATTTCAAAGTTAAAAACTCTCACTACAGAACATTATAGGGTTATTGGAAAAACACATTATGGAAGTAATACAAAAAAATCCCTGCTCCTTTCTCAGAGAACAATAAATAACACATGATTCAATAGGCTAGTCCTTTATTATATTATGAATCTGTGAGACATATTAGTTTTCCAGCACACATTAAAGTCTCTGTGTGATGTTTGTATTATGAAAGTCTGTCTGAAAAACATCTGAGTTACAAAGTTACAGTGCCAGCTTTGATGGTTTTCTCTAGATGTTCTAAAATGCATTTTATCCCACCTCAACCCCACTTTCCCAGATTTTCTTTAAATTTACTAATATTTTACTTTTTTCATTTTAGATGAATTATTTTCTCTGTCCTTGCTAGCTTTAATTTTTCAACTGGAGGAGTAAGTTGAGATTTTTCTCAGAATCAAGGCACTTACTAAATATTTCAACAGGTGTGTATTTTAAAATCTCTAGAATAAAACTAATGTTTATGCACTTCCTGTTCTAAGACTTCTGATTTATTGTATCACGTACATAATAACCATAGTAGCATTTTGAATACTTTGCTTATCTATCCAAGAGTTGAAATCAGGTACCTGAGAGGGCAAGAACTGATGCTTCTTGGACTCCTCAGAGAATGAGGAGTCCCCACTTATGTGCACACTTCAATTCCTTGTTCCAAATTAAGTTACATGAGAGGTGAACTTTTCATTTCCATGAAAGTTTTCCGCTGACGTATGATACAGTAACAGACATATAATTGTACTTGTCAAAGGGATCTTCTTATACTTCAAGAAATTCTAAGATGCAGTATCAGGAAGATCTATTTGATGATGCATTTAATTATAATTTTGGAAACATATTTCATGTTTGAAATAAAAAAAACCCATATTTCTAGGAAAACCGCATTTTTGTGCAGACCATTGTATTATATGTAAATATAATTTTTTTTCTAAAGTAATAATCATATATTGACAAGTATCAGTGTTCAAGAACAATTCTGGTTTTATAGAAGATATTATCTACTAAGAAAAATGTGTAAAAGCAGAACCAAGGAAATTCTTTTCCTTAGATATAAAAATTGCTAGAACAAAAGGCAATAGGATTTTGCCATGTTCTACTAGCTACCACATTAAGAGAAATAAACTAGAGATTTTATGAAATACTGTCAGAAAGTAAAACTTAATTGGGTATAAAAACTCAAGCAAATATTATTATCTCTGACACGTTGAACAGTCTCAGAGAACAGTGACAATGACTTATACAACCAAAAGAAAACTGAATAGAATAACTGCAAAAATAGTTGTTTTCTTACATGATAACTTGCTCTTGATGGATTTAAAAGGCACCACAAATTTATTACAGTTTTCAAAGTGGAAATGTTACAAAGGTACTGGCTATTTTGAAGCAAAAGAAAAGAAAAAAATCAACCATTGAAGTAAAGTTAGATGTCTGGAAAATAGTGAAGGCAGCTGAATACTAACTATGACAGAGAGAGAAGGTGAAAACAAGTTTAAGATTATCAGAAACATTTAACTGTGTTGTCCAAAAAGAGACTGGAAACGTCACTACTATGTCACTGTTCAATCTTTGTTCCTTGTCACATCAGCTTCTTATAAATGGAGCTTGGCAGATGGTGAGTAGAGATGTTGACAAAATTTTTCCCTTCCATCTATTGCTTCATAGTCTACCATGGAAGAAAAATCGCACAATATGACTTTTACTTCAGCTAAACTTATGTCTGTCTATTGTGAAGCTCCAAAATCATGTAAACTGTGCCCAGGTGTGCAGATGTCTGCATAGTGAGAAAGTAGAAAGCTTACACATCACTTACCTCACACCAGTCAATCCTACATAAAGTGACTGTGGGCAGTTAGTAAGAGCAAGTCGAGAGCTAAATGATGGGAAGTTCCCATTATTCACTACGTAATTATCTGTTACTATGAAGTTCTATAAAAATTAATGAAGGACTTGAGGTACCATAGGCTATTTGTAAGCAACTATTTACAAGAGTATTCAGTGACAGGACAAGGGGGAATGACTTCAAAATGAAAGAGAGTAGGTTTAGATTAGATATTAGGAAGAAATTCTTTACTATTGGTATGTTGAAGCACTGGAAAAGGTTGCCCGGAGAAGTTATGGATGTTCCCATCCCTGGAAGTGTTGAAGGACAGGTTGGATGGAACTCTGACTAATATGGTCTATTCAAAATGTCCCTGCCCATGGTAGGAGGGTTGGAACTATTACAGAGTTACATTGCATTTGTAGGCCAATAAGAAAAATAAAAAATGTTTCAAATTCTACAGTTTGCACACTTTCTTTTTACAGTCTGCAGAAAACTTACAGAAAATGGTAGAGAATAACCAATACATAAACAAAACTGAAGAGCACCACATGTCAAATGTGGCTTGTTAGCAAAGGAACAGTTGCCTTGATCTGTCTATACTTCTCTGTGTGATGGATATTTAGCATTGGTAACATTACTTGCTCAGTCCTAGAAACTTACAAGCAGCTTTCTGTGAATGAGTAAATAACTTTAGAGAAAGAATTTCTTCTTTTTAACATTAAACTAAATCTGGGCATGTAATATATGAGGATTGGAAGCCACATCCATAGAAGTAAATTAAATGTTCCTGAGACCATTCGTTAGCACTGAGGACTATTGGCATAAGACACTATGAACACATGCCATCAGCATGGAGAACAGATGGCTAGATGCATACTGTCTGCTGAGGACAGTCACCTTGCCACACTGACTCCAGACTGGTGCTGGTTTGGAAGAGTGTTAGCTCGTTAGGTTGTAGGACAGATTTAAGAGTTTCTCAATGAACACAGTGAAGTTCCAGTACGGGGATCTGCTTACTTCCTAGTTCAGGCAGGTGCAGAGCTCTTCTCCCCACCAGCATCCCTTCTTCCAACTGGCATCAAGGGAGAAAGAGCAAGCACTTTTTCACTTATTCTTAAAATGTATCTAATGCAGTGTCTTGTACAGGCTGATGATGTAATTTTATTTTCAGAGTGGAAATCTGCCCCTCAACAAGTAAAATTTACAGCAGAATCCAGAAGATTTTTTTCAAGTGATCTGAGTCATTGTAAGACCTCCTAAAACTTGCAATGCTAATCCTAAAATTACTAAACCCTTCTATAGGGTCTGATTTATCAAAGCACTTAAGAAGGGACATAAACTCCAGAAAAAATAAATAAAAGAGTAATTTTATTAATTTTTAAAAAAGGGTCCTTTTGGATGAGGGTCTGGAAGGCATATGCTTAGATGAACAGAGTAAGGCTTGCAGTGAGATTCTTAATTAAAACAGGAGAAAATAATAATTTTAGCAAGTCATATGTTTTCCTACTAAGTTCTAAATTATGCAGTGCATAAAGTCTTGATTCTGTTAGACAGAAAATAACTGAATAAATAACTTATATCTTTCTTAAGTTCTGAGCATTCATGTAGCATAAACTGCCTGATTATAATAATTCTTTTACCGCCTTTGAAGTCATTGATAAAATATTCCTGCAAGATTTGGAAGAGGAAAAATATAAGGTTTGAATTTTTCAGCAGAGAAGACATTAATTTTCTCTAGGTACAATAACTGTAAAAATACAATTCTGTTTCATCTTTAATACAAGGTAGAGAAGTGGAAAGTGGATTATGTCTCTTAGCAAAGAAATTACTAATAATGAAATTACTGTCTTCTTGCAGGTATCAATTTGCTGTTTATTAATGCCAGCACATGGTTTCAGACTTACATGATGTACCATACCAGAAGGGAGTTCATATGATTGTAATTTGAATTTCTGTTGAAACTTATCATATTACATAACATGAAATGCAGGTAAAAAGTTTTATATAGTCAGGTGACATGACACAAATATCAGCATTATCTACTGAAATCTTTTTGCTTTGAAAAATTCATTAATTCATACCTGATACCTAAAAGAATGATCTCCATTTGGTCTGTGAAGAAGCCCTTACCCTCTTGCCTTCCTCCAGATCTTCCAATACACACACACATATTTTTTTCTGCTGAATGTAGAAAGGTTTGTGAGAGATGAAGACACCATGTAAAGGCACCATATTCCCTTTCCCTAAGCCCTCTAGCTTTAAGTGGGGGAAATAGACTGTGGTAGGCTTTTTGTGGTAAAATTACAAGAAAGCTGAAGGTTTCTAATACATGCCAAAGTTTTTTGATCAGGGTTTATCAGTTGCCCGTTCTAAATTTGACTCTATGTAAGTAGAATTCAGTGGTACATTGAAGAAGTTTGTCAATGGAACCAGCTCCACTCCTTTACATTCTCTTCACACTGCCAGGTCACAGTTGAAAGAAAGCATATTAATAGAGTTTCAGAGATATTCATTGGCATCTCTTTTCTAAAGCAGAAGGATTTGCTAAGACATTCATATTCTCCAGAGCCCAGTATGATCCCATGAGGCAAGGTGAAGACATGAGAGAAATAGAAAGTAAGTTCTGGGCTTCTGTGAGGAGAAAAAGATATGTAGAGTAATGGGCACAAGAGGAGAAACATCATGTATAAGAAATATTTAGAAACTTCTTCATCTTGAGTCTATACAAATAATAATAAAAAAGCCACTTTACTTACTGTTCTTTTCAAATTAGTCCTTACAAATGCCTTTAGAATATTTTCTTAGAATATTTTTCTTCACAGTATTTTAGTGTTAATATATAATTCATCAAGTGCATCAATTTCTTTCATGACTTGCTCTTTACTTTTCTGAGTCCAAACCATCAGATAGCAGAAACCTGCATCAGAGATGAGGCCTTTTGATAGACAGGCTCCAGTGCCATAAGCTACACATTTTTCTGCAGCATTTAGAGTTTTGAAATCAAATAAGCTGAAGTTTCTCTGAAACATTTGTCAGAAAGAACTTGTTTATAATGGAAAATGAGTCTCCATACATCCTCTGTAGTGCATTTTAGGTTTTCCCAAAATATTCTTTAGCGAAAGAAATTCAGCTATTTTGTGGAATGATATTTTGGTATCTTATACATTATAATTGTACATGGAGAGCATAGAAATAGTTTTAGAAATCATATTAACCACATGTGAATGTAAAAGAAAGTCTAATTTATTTTAATCACATTCCTTCTTGATGTGAAAACAGCACAAGTTACAACTTCTGTGGTCAGAAGCATGCACTCTAAGTTCTTGAAAAAAGAAGGTTTTTACAGTCATGATCTTCCTTACAAAACTGCAGATAGTAAAATTCTTTCCTATAACATATGAAGCAGTTCTGGATTAAAAAAAACCAACAAACAAAAAACCAATCAACCAACCAAACAAACAAAAAAAAACAACCCTACAAACTACTTGGAATGGAGAAGATAGAACTTTTAGGAGTTAGGTTTGTTAATTTGTAGATGTCCTACTACATATATGTCATGATTTTAACAATTTTTAATGCTATGTAATCTACATTACTTCCCTTATAGTAGTGACAAGCTAGGTAATTTATTATCTTTACTCTGACAGCAAGACAAATTGGCTAACTTCATCCCATTTCATATTTTATGTGAAATGTGAATTTCCCATTTACATTTTATGCTGAATTGCCAATAAATGTGGCTTTACACTTTGGATGAAATGAGCTACAAAATCCCATGGTAACTCAGAGATATTTCTTACAGAAATACATATACTCTTTTTTTTTCATAAGTTCTACTAAACAAAAAAAAAAATTCAGGTTAGTACTGATCCCTTGAGATGTCACTATTTTTACTTACAATTCTAGTTTCATCCAGAACTAGATTTTTCTTTTATTAATACAAAACCAACATATTTTTATTTTACTTTTATAAATCTGCTTAGAATCACAGTAATGCACTTACTGCAGTTGCTGAAGCTGCTGCCGTATCTGTCCCTGAATCAGAGAGCTACTAATTCTGATTTGTTCCAAGTTCTTCCACAATCTGTCAAGTTCTTTAATAACTCACATATTAAATATTTTGAGCTCTTTCACTAAACTGTTATAAAAAAAAAAATCCCAAACCCTGACATATTCTCTGAATTTTATAGCTATTGTGTAAGAAAATGGAGCAGTTCTGGTAGAGAAAGTAGAGAAAGATCAAAGAATTAATCTAACAGTCCAAAACCTTAAATTGTTTATCTAAACAGAACAGAACTCTGCAAAGTAAATGTACAAAAGATAGATGAAAAGTTACTCAAATTGTTTTAAAATGCTACTTATTTTAAAAGAATCCTGCATCAGTAAACTAGCTCCTGCCTTTAATAATACCCATGTATGGGAACCCTATTTCAGAAAACATCGGCTTATCAGTAAGTGAATATAGATGATTCCTCTATTTAGCATCACTTTCACTGACTCCCCAAAGAGCCTGAGGAAACTGCATTTAGCAAGATCTCCACAGATAGCTTTAGCAAGCAGAGCACTACCCATCAGTATCAGAATCACAGTCCTCTCTTTCATATCATATTTTGAACACATCCCGTAATCTGACCTGTCACAGGCACCAGCCAAGTGGAAATGACAGTGAATGACAGTAACAGACCAAATAAGATGGCTGCCAGGAGTGCAGAGACCCAGGGACCTCAATCATCTGAACCACAAATCCATTAAATGATTTAATTTTGTGTATCCAACTGTGGGGCAATGTTTACAGCAAGAGAGTGAAATATACACACAAAAAATAAAAGGATGTATAGGAACAAACACATTGAGAAATAAAAGTACTCTGAGGAGAAGGCAATCTTACATGCTGGATTGTTCCTTTTTTTGGAAGATGCTACAAGTTTTACATGCACATATAATAAACTGTTCTGTAATATGACCTTACATTTTAGAAAATGATTCACTAATGAAATCAGTTTTGACTGGTAATGCAGAAAGGTAAAAAGGCACCATATTCCATGAAAATAGGCTAGTAAACTTCATTTTTGTTTCATGTCTTTTCTCTATCACTTTCATTTTCTGGCTGGCACTGCAGTGGCTGAAATGCAGAAAGAACATATTTTTGCTTGAATTAAAGGTACAGTTTTATTCATGTATACTTATTTGTTCCAGGCTAGCCTCCCATCTCAAATGAAACCTCAAAAGCAGAACCAGTGTAAAACAATATGGCACATTATCCTACATACTCTTTTAGATATGTAGAACTTAAAATTTTCAATAGCTAATTTGGGTAACATTATACTAATAATTTCAAATGCAGTTAAATGCAATTTAAAAAGCTTTAAGTCCCAGGATATGCCTACACTGTGCTTTCTGAGCATCTCATAAGGAAGCGAGGCAAAGATCTGCTGTCTCCCCCTTTGCTCTGTCAATAACATGGTTAAGATATGTGACAAATTTGGACATTAACTCATGCCAAAGTAAGCTGTTAAGTGTCAATTATGATTAGGCACTATTCTTTCAACCACATAATCTGCTTGTAGCTGGGGAAAAAAACCCCATAGAACATAAATAAGAAATAGAAAAACTGTTTTTTTGGTTGGTTTTTATTTTCTTTTTGGTTTTGGTGGGGTATGTTTTGTATGTGTTTCTTGATTTTTAGTGTAGAGTATCTGCCTATGAAGCAAGATTTTTACTTTAACTAATACCAATCAGATATGCCTAGTTGAAACGGGTCAGCATGTTACTCTTTCATAATTCTTTTGATTATAGGAAAACCCAGATCAAGTACACCTGTAGTGTAGCTGCAATGCAACCGATAGGACTCTATAAAGCACTCCAGACAACAGAATATTTTAAGGCTAGAGACACTAATTAGATGATGTTTGAATAAAGTCTCTGTAAAACTACAAAACTGTGTAATCACATGTGCTTTTGCTAATAAGCAGAACCTTCCTGCAAGTGTAAATTCAAAACTACATTAGAACATTAAATTCACTAGTCTGAATAACAAAGGTAGGGAATTTTGTCCAAGAATCTCCATCTTTAGGCATGAAACTTGCAGGGAATGGATTTCTTTCTACCAGTTCTTTCTTTTAAACCATTTCATTCTATGAGAAGGTTTCAATTTTTACCAAGCAGCTAAAAGAACCCAAAAATCGTACCCCTATAGGAAAAATAACCTTTTGTTTTGAATTGATTGAATTCACAACTGTTAAAAGGGCTCTCAGTCAGACTTTCTTACCTTTTGAAATATATTGCATGTCACTGTGATATGTCAAATGGCATTTTCATCATGCAGTATAATTTACATCAATTTCAAAATCTTTTGACTAAGTCAAAAGATAAATTTACTAATAGATACATTTCTAATGTTTTGCATGCAGGGCAAAAACAGCCTTCTGAGTACATTTGACTGGATTCAAGATGGTGCTGCATGAATATTAGTCTATGTTCATTTGGAGGCTTGACCCGAGCACCGGAATATGCTTTGAGGAGTTAAGATGCAAAATCTAGTGCACAGTTACTTGTAATTGAAGAACATTTATTTCCTCTTTTGTAGGCAGCCATAGGCTTTTCCTCAACCCTTTACTGCAATTGCAGTAATACTAAAAGGCTGAACCTTGAAATAGTCTCACAGTGCTCTGGGGGCATCACAGAGTTCTCTAACTTGAAATGGGACAGGAAGCATGCTGGGGTTTAACTTGATCATTGGCATGACCTCTTGTGCAAACAAAAACAAAAGAATATAGGAGGATAAGGGGATTTTTTTTCCTCATGTATTCTAGCTGTTCAGTGTAGCTGAATATACTGCTTCATATATGTTTTTAATTTATCTAAGCATATGCAGCTGCACACAGATATTCATTATTTTACCCTCACCGAAAGCTTTCCCTTTTCTAAAGGAAAGCTTTGTATTTTTTCCAGGGGAAGAAAAAAAAAAAAAGAAGGAAAAACTACTAACATAAACTGAGATTTTTTACAAAATAATTTTAAAGAAGTTTGTTACTCATATCTCAAAGAAAATATGGAAATCTTAATTATGATGGCTAATTCATGTAAAGCTGACAAAACTGCTCAGTCTTATAGCAAAAAAACTGCAACTACTGCTGTTTTAGTTGCTTCTAGTTTGCTGCAAATACTGCCCTATTTCAACAAGCCATGTGGAGTGTATCATTAGATGCAGAAACACCTCTGTTCAGAGACTTTTTTTTTTGCAATGGCAGATTTGTCTGTGTGTTTTCCTTTTTGTGGAGCTATAAATTATGTCCTCAGAATGACCATTTACACTTTGATGCATACTAATCAATGTAAACATGTCATTTTATAATTAATTCTGAACTAATTAGCGGTAATTAGATATGTCTGTCAAAAATATCAGCAGTCATTTAGAATGTATTCCTTGTCAGTCAAATATGTTTTAAATAAATTTTTGTATAATTTCTGGCTCCAATTAACAGAACATCAGAAGCTTTCCACCATTTTTGTGGATGTTATTCTAATATGCAAGGAAGGGACTATATGCATATTTATGTGAGAATATTTCCAACTGTGTTGCTAATATTATAGCAGTTTCAACAAAGAAAAGTACATTATCCTCATGTAGCTAAATCACAAAGAGTTGAACTAGAAATATAGTAGCCAGTGAGGGAAACAGAGATTTAATTACTTTATTAATGTCTAAATCAGAATTCAAAAAGAGAATTTCATTTTCCCATCTTTTTTACAACACTTAATGATACTACTGGTTCTGTACCTCATAAATCATTGGCTAATAGTATCTTAAAATTAGAGTTTTTGTAGCTGGCATAAATTCTGAGGTCCAAAGTGAACAATGGAGTTGTACCTGGGTTAGGCTTCAAAGCATATTTTTCCAAACTGTTACTGATATCAGGCTCAGAATTTGGTCCATTACATACTGAGGTTAGAGATGAAGCTCCATTAGAATAATGAATAAATGAGAAATACATCCAGGAAATACATCCAGGAACGCCTAAGCATGTACAATTCTAGATTTGTACTGGCTCTTGTATTCCTGCATAGATAGATAGATAATGTTAGTTAATATGCTGACTACACATCAAAAATACAACAAATAAAAAATACAATCAACTTATCAAAGACAGGAATTCTAAAGAAGTGAATCCTTTTCCAAGGAGTGGTAGCACAGATATGGGACAGGAGGCTATAGAAACCTTTCTAACATGAAATGACTCAATGACAGTCATCCACCCAAAGAATTCCCTTTCATTGATTTCTTTCAATAAGATGCTGTGAACAAAGAAAAGAGATTAGGAAGCAGTTCCTGGGTCCAGAACCCATGATCTAAGTGAGATAGAAATGGTATGGATTGAAGATGAGTCAGGTAGAAACATTGCTATTTTATGGATGAAACAGCAAATTTTGCACAGTTACAAACACATAATTGTAGAGGTGGTAAAATCAAAATTAGTAAATCTCAAGAAGCATATTAAGTCTTTTGCCATATTGGGCTTTTGAAAGTGAACCTGTGGCCAGCTCTTTAGGTAAGGCCACACTTTATTCTTCAGAACAAGCAAACTATTTTCTACCTGAGAGTACACTTTTTTTCTAGAGGTCTCCTCTTCCACATTAATTTCAGGATATTTATGAAATGAGAATGATCTAGTTGCTGACCATTATGTCGTTAATGAACATTAGGTTGATAGATAAATCAGGAAGGCAATCCCCTTTCAGAGAAGATAAAACAGTGACTTCACAAGTAAGCAGATTTTCAAGGCTTCTTCCTAAGATCATAACAGGGTGATATTACCTGCCAAAGCAGAATTATGATTTCTGTTTTTTTTTTTTAATTATCTTTTCCTGTTAAAAAGGAATCTCTTGGGTTATGGTTCTGTCTCTGAGGAGTCTACAACACTCTAGAGATTTAGATGGAGTGAAATGCATTGTTGCTAGGCTTATTATAAACCACAAATTAGGAAAACATCCTCTAATTTCAACAGTGACGTGAAATGCCAGTGCTTCTTTTCAGGGATCTGCTATCAAAAACATGTCCATAAAAATTTGAAATCAGATCCTGAAAGCTGAACATGACCTTGGAATGTTTCCATGAATTGGAAAAAGCTGTATAGATTCTGTGAGAAAGATATTTCCAGAAGTAAAAAAATACACTTTATTGAACTATCCAAACATTTTTTTTGCTGCAGATTCATCCTAAAAGACTGACTCCTTAGAGGGACATTCTTCATTCTTTTTCCAAGTTTTGAATTAAATCTTTGTTTGAACATAAGGCAAATCAAAAGAAATATGTCAGGGAAAAAAAAATGAAAAGAGGGAAGGGATGGTTTAGTAAAGTTTGGGAAGGTTTGGAAAGGTTTAGGAAGGGAAGGTTTGGGGAGGTGAGGGGAAAGGAGTGAAAGGGAGGGGAGGGGAGAAAGGGGAGGGGAGGGAAGAGGAGAGGAGGGGAGGGAGAGAAAGGAAAGGAAACAGTTTATCATATGGTCCTCTAGGAAAAAAAATGAAAAAAAAATGTGACAACCTGCTTTTTTTTTTTTTTTTTTTTTTTTTAAACCTACTTCATAGACTTATTTGAAAACCAGTAATAAATCCTTAGAAAATAGGTCAGTACAGCAACATGAACAAAAAAGAAGCCAAGACACATACAGGTTATTATACCATGTTAGGTTTTACATAGATTTCTTTCACACAAAATACCTGTGGTTTAGAGCTTGCAAATGGTAATATCTTAGGGCTTTAACTTGCATCTACTTAGCACACAGCTGATATAGTTTAAGATGGTGTTCCATTAATGGATTGTTATTATTTTTCTCCCTTTCTCCCTCATGGTGATAAAAAGGGTAGGTGAAGTAGGTATGCTCAAAGAAGTATGTGAAGTAGAGAGGGTCATCTTAAGCTACCTATCAACTTGGCCAAAAAAGAGAGAAACATTAATTAACACTACTTTCCAGGAGTGCTCATCTTCAGTATCGAACATTTTCCAAGTGCACTGTCTGACTTTTGCTTCATTTCTTGCTGTTGATTAAAGAAAAATAAGTCTGCATCTTCAAGCTAAAAATTATAATACAATAAGCTAATAAATGTAGTGTCTATGAGTTTTTAATAGAACAACTGAATATCTAAAAAATTGTTTCTAGGTGAAATTAAGAGATTAGACATATATCCCACCTGCAAAGCATCAATGCTGCTATGGTGGTTGAAGTCAACACTTAGTGATTGCTTCTC